TCTCATGTGCAGAGACCTTAACAAAAACAAAAGAAAGCACAAAAAAATGATGTCATTACAATAGCCCTATAAATTTGCATTAAACTGCGATAATAATAGGACCTGTATGTAATACTCTATTTGTAGTCGAAATTAAATGTTTCATAACAACTTTGGAATGCACCGTTCGTAAATGAGACATTTTCACGACACTGAAGAGTGTTTTTCTGCGACTTTGTACTTATGGACGGTCCACAACATATTATTGACCGCTGGTGGACAGTTGCCGGGAAACAGTAAAATTTTGTGACTTTCACGTGGTACGTTCTCGACCAATAAGATACTAGGAAAAGAGAACTTTGACACTTGATTTACAATAGTATTATTTGTTGAAGCTCCTCCAAGATGGCCGCTGTGACGTGTGTACCTTGAAAACGACGGTGAATTCAAAAACTGACAGGCGTTACTTCCAAACACAGGAAGACCATAATTTAAAATATTATTCGTTGTGGGCCTGGGTTTGCCGTCAGGGCTTTTCTGTTGTTTGACATAGTTCATCAAACTTCTTGATTGTAAATATACAAAGCCGACATTATCAAAACTATAATCAAAAACATTAATACCTCAGAATAATATATTATCGGCAGCAATCCTAATTCCAATTTACTAATTGAAATCATAACAACCTTCTCCAGAAGAAGAAAGTGTTCAGTGCTGTCATTACATTTATATTGCAGCTCTTATTCTTTTTATTTCATTTATTAATTTGTCCATTCCAAATTCATTTTTGGGCTCCCTGTGGTAGGTTGCGTGACCATCATTTCCGTAACTGAGCGCTGTAATTTTCATAGAAGGAATGAGGAAAATAGATAGATTGAAGGGTTTAGGCATTGATGATAATGTTAAGAATAATTACTACTTTTAGTACATTTTTTCTAGACACAKTTTGAGAACTCTGCTAGATTCCCGTATGTAAATTCAKCTGACCGTGACGTCACGACTTCGATCGATTTACTACAGTTCAGCGGTGGTGCCACGTCTCATAAGAACGACTGATCATTTCATCAGTTTTCATCTTAAATTGCTTCTTATACGAGCTTGTTCTTGATCAAAAAGGAAAGTTTGTCCTGTGAACATTAATAATTGCCAAGAATGGCTGCAAAATCTTTTATATTAGGTCTTACATTATTTCTTGTGCTTCTGACTTGTTGTTATGCTCCACCGGTACAACCAAAGAAAGAAAAAGCAGAGAAAGACGAAAATGAACCAGAATACGCCAGATACCTTAGACAAGTCGTAGAAATACTAGAAAAAGATGACGATTATGTTAAAAAGCTTATGAATGCTTCAGATGAAGATTTGAGGTCGGGTAAAGTCGCCGACGATTTAGACTTTGTAAAGCATGATGTTCGGACCAAGCTGGATGAATTGAAAAGGCAAGAAATCGAGAGGCAAAGACAAATTCGTCGGCAAATGAACGATCACCAAGCTGGTCTAACTGAACGTGAACACTGGAATCCTGTATTTGATGATGATAATCCTGACTTCTTTGGACCAGATGATTTTAAAAAGCTTCTTGCCAAGGTAAAATGTTTTTGATTTGTACTGACAGTACTTCATGACAATACAACTGGAGAAATTCTTTGTGGCCTATTGCGATCACCCTAGCATTCTGCTTTCTTACATCTGAACGTCAGTATGATAAAAAATAGGCTAAAATACCTTAAGTGGTTTGTTTTACGATACAGATTGTATAAAACATGTATTCGGACGGCGCAAAATTRTTTATGCATGGAAACATTAAATGCATAAAAGATTGCACACTCTATCGACACGTAAGACTATCTCGCTGATTATCATAAGATTTGGCTGTAGTAAGAAAATATAAAGTCTTGATATTRTTTACTGTACATGTCTGCTATAAGAATATTTCTTTGGGTATATATACAACAACTATATGTTTTTGATGTATAGATCTTTGGTTCACTGTACAAAAAATGTGATTTGTTGATTGTGTAGTCGTTTGCAACTATATTTTAACAACACATGTATTTCTTTCTTTTTATATGATTTTACAATTTACGGATTCAGTGTACACCGGAATCTAAAACTGTATTTATTGTRCTTGTATGAACCACAGTGAATTGTTATTTTCGCCAGGTGGTGACAGTGAAAATGATTGGATAATAATAATAATAAAACAAAAATATTAATGGATGACATTGAATTAAATTATTTCTTTTTGCATTAAATCAAGGATTGCTTTTAAAAATGATAAATGATAATAATTTTAATATAAAAATTACTCAATCATAGACAATTATATGAATGTCTTCTTTAAAACGCTATCTAAACGTAAAGAGGTTTATCATAAGAAACTACAATATATTAGATGTAAACTAGTAAGCATGGAGGTGTTYGCACAGCTATTGTTGAGTGCATTAATGCTGAAAGTAGCATTTTTTTGCAAAATAAGTTTTTTACAAGAGAGGAGTAATTTATGAACATGTTTTTGCATGCATTTATGGCAAATGATAGCAAGAATCATTTGGCTTGCTGTCAACCTATTCACTGATTTGTGATTTGCTTAATTTTTACAATTTATTGCACACATTTGGTGAGTCAAAGCAAGGTGTATCATGCATTATCATGAGAGTGTACCTCAACATGTGAATGGATAATCATTATAAAATGATTACAGTTTGTATTAAAAGGATCATGGGTATCTGAGAACCTTTTTTGCAATTTTCTCTCTCAAAATCTTACATTTTGAACCAAATAGTAAAATTAATAATGAATATTTTGAGAAGTGAACAAAATCAGAGTTTTCACCGTTTATTTGCTGTGGGCTTAAGGGGACTACATATGAAAGTCGAATTGTTTGTGAAAACTACAAAAAACAAAATCACACAAAATATGTATTAATTTTCTCCGTTGTAGCACCACAATGAAATGGACAAAAGAGATAAAGAAAGAAAAGAGGATTAYAAAAAATATGAAATGGAAAAAGAACATAAGAGAAGAGAGAAATTAAAGGAGATGGATGAGGCACACAGGAAGGAAGCTGAGGAGAAATTCAAAAAAGAGCAAGAAAGACACATKGAAGAAGCCAAGAAACTCCACCATCCAGTAAGTGCATTCTCTCTCAATATTGATAGATATTGCATGATAAAAAATGATTAAATATGATCATATGGAYGCAGTAATCAAATGAGCATATTGTGTTTTGTTGTTCTTGACTGTAGAAGCAATACYAAATGAACACTTCATGCTAGTAGCACAATTTAATTGGTCCTTGAAAATATGAATTACAGTTTATGGCGTCTATAATTTCTGTTTAAAAAAAATGTTTTATGAAAAAGGGCTATGAACCAGTTGTCAAACAGAAACTGCAGGACTTGGGATCTCTCTTTCCCTGGACCCTTCCAGTCCTAATTGTCCAGCATGGGTGACTCTAAGGAGCATAGCWACAGCTAAAATAGATGTGGCAGTCAAGAGGGTACACAAACCATTTCATTTTAAAGATATGATGACCCTAYGAGTTGGACAATTTTTTTTATTTACAATTTCAAGACTACTCTTTCACTTCAAACTCAATTCACTAYCAGTTTAATTTGCCATGCAAGAAGTCAGTTTGTTATGATGAGCTGATTTGCTATGTGTTCATATTGCATCATGTAATCTTCAGTATCTTCAACATAGAAAGCTTAAGTATTAATTATCCAATATTAGAGGCTGTTGAATAAATTGTAGTAACTATGACATTAAGTAAAAGAGGAAAACACAAACTTAATATCTTAGATATTATGTAATATGTAGATTACTAACACAGATTATGAAGAAAATGAGGACCATAGCAGTGACAGATCTATTAAATCTAATGTTGACACAGRTGTTTCTAGCTTGAATGAACTTATATGAACATACACTAAAAGTTTCACCAGCTTTAAGTTTTGTTTGTACTTATGTGTTTGCAAATCACCACATGACAACAAAGCATGCCCACTATGATGAAATCTGTGCCAGTTTTACCCAAAAGCGAGGCAGAATAAGGCAACAAGCCAAAAAGATAGTCTATTTGAGCTTGCTTGCCTTTTTTGCAATGTTACGAAAATAAAAGTATTGATCACTGCAGTTCCAGAATCTTTTGAAAAATGTTTTTTTTGATTTTAGCAAATGTCTGTGTACMGTATTTAATATTATGATGGGCAAGTGCAAGAGGACATGCCGAGTAGTTGTATGTAGGGTATTTTCTAAGTTTTTATTCACAGATATATATTTTAGAAAGAAAAGTTAAACAGGCAATCTTTTCATGCATGTATTTTAAAGGTTTTGTTGTTAGAACATATATGACATCATTTTTGCTGATGTTGTTTTTTTTTAATCTTCAGGGAAGCAAAGCTCAGCTTGAGCAAGTTTGGGAAGAAAGTGATGGTTTAGACAAAAACGAATTTGAACCTAAAACATTTTTCAAATTGCATGGTGAGTGGAAGAATATAAAAGATAATGATCACTGATCTATTTTTATTTGGTAACAATAATATTATCATTGATCTTGTTTCATCAACCAATAAGTTATTTTATTACCAAGCTTTCGGGCCTTAGGCCCATCATCAGGGTTAATGGAGTCAACACTAAAAAACGTTACAAATCAACGCACGATAATATAACATAATAATATTGTTTGTTGTATGATAGATATCAATGGAGATGGCTACCTAGACACTGGTGAGCTTGAAGCCCTTTTTGTTAAAGAGGTAATTGATGATTTATTCAAGTTAACTTGATACATTAAATATATCAGTGAATGCCTCAATTGTAATCAGACAGGGAAGAAACAGAAGATGTACACGTAAATTGGACCATACAGTTCCAGAGAGACACTTTTTGTCTTATCAGCAGTATTCTGCATATCTGAAACATGCACATATAATTAGACTTCGGCTATTTGGACAATGACTGAAGAAATAACAGTCTTTTTGAACAATGTCACTGTCTGAAAACAGTAGACTTTTTTACTAATAAGGGCGCTATCGTGAGTTTTTAAGAAATTATTGGATGTTCAGGGTGTGTACAGTAAGAACAATTGTTGTATATAGAATGCAAACAAAAAAATAAATTATGGGTTTGTACAGGGTTAAAGCATTTCCTGATTTTAATGAATTTTTACATAATATCCAAAAATACGTGGCATTCAAGGTGGGACAAGGGTACCAGTACCTGGCAGGACAAGGGTTAAAAATTGTTTTTCACGTTTATTTATATCTCACAGCATTCTAAAAGCCTTATAGTCTATGAATTTCTTGTTTATGAACACTTTAGGCATCCCATAGTTTCTTACTGACAATTGAAARTGAATTCAAGGTGGCGATAGCCTATCTACTAATAACATTCTAATTTCCATTAMAATATTGTATTTAGGTTGGTAGACTCCATGATCCAAAATCTGAAGATTTCGATAAAAGAGAAAGGGATGAAGAGTTAGCAAGAATGCGCGAGCATGTCATGAATGAGGTAAACCACTGACTATTTGCAAATAATCCTACGATGTGTTTGCACACTGGCGCTCCCTAGAATTATCACACAATATTTTGCCCATATTTGTCTTGTTTTTTTCTACGAGACCTCATTGTTTGCCAACTATGTGAAAAAGCGTTGTCGGCGAGAACAGTAAACGGYTATTGTCGATTATTATTTCAATGCGACGATTACGATGTTTACACATGAGGTTTAATTCTCGTCAAGTTAAAGATTTTCACATTCGTTCCCAGTCTCCCCTTCATTTATGGAAAAAATGGAACTATGCGGATTGTTCTCTATTCTTGGTGTGCAAACACATGACCAGGAACCCCCTGAGAAATAAAGAACAAGGCTATCGCCGCCATGTTGGATGAATGAACAAGAGAAACTAATGAGGAGTGCTTTGTGATTTTCATCCAACATGGCGGTGATGACGTAACTTGCACACCAAGAATATGTAGCTAGACAGACTGACAATCTGAAGAAGTGTACAAAAACTCAAAGAATTCGTAAAGTTGTACTATTAATTCACGCAATATTTTTTAATGGACAAAGCTAATCCATTTATTTTTCGTTTGATAGATTGACAAAGACAAAGATGGCTTCGTATCTAAAGATGAATTCCTTGCAGCAAGCAAAAGTGATGACTTTGAGAAAGATGAAGGATGGAAAAGCGTTGAGCAACCAGACCAGCGACCCTACACTGATGACGAACTGGCAGAATTTGAAAAGAGCTTACAAGAAGAGGAGAAAAACAGAGAAGAACACAAAGACTCACAAACACAGGTAAGTGTTTCATTTCCCTAGTCGATTGTCGTAGACGACGGTCCTTTCTACCCAGAGGTGTTAGTTACCCTATTCCAAGCTTTGAAAGACCCAATCACTTCAATATTGAACAAGTTACAGCATCTCAAACATACTAGAATTTTCCCTGTCGGTCGGTTTTTGGCCATTTTCCGTACTCATTCTGTGGATCAATATTTCTTTGGAAATTTTAGCATATTTAAATTCTGTAACCTATTGAACTGATTAATATCATATGYTGTGAATTTGCAATCCTCGATAAGGTCGTATCTCACCACCATGCCAGTTAAAGGATTATCCCTAGTCCCCCACGGTAGTCAATAATCAACCAACCAATAGATTAACATAAAATATATATACTGTTTATAGGAACACCATGACCAGCCACAAGAACAACATGACCAAGCTCAAAAGGACCACGACAAGCAAGAAGAGAAACATTAAATGAACATTTTAATTTACTCCATTCACTCCTGAAGGTGTGCTCCTGAAACGATCCTTTACCCACATCTAAAGTTCAAACACTAAAAGTGTGCAATATAATTTTTATTGGTCGAGAGTCGACCACGTGACACGATAGTGGCCTTCACGGAGGGGTAGTATTAGTACATAGAGTCTAATTTTTCTTGTTGAATATTAAAAACAATAGAGCAGTTGAAATGTCGGGCGTTATTAATCAATAGTTGAGTCGGGGGCATTWTGCTGTGACAGTTGTCCGAGATTGTTGTCTGGATTTTCCGAAAAGCAAATAGTCTCCCGAGAATGCAGGGGCACCCAATTTCCAAGGGCAACTATCACAGCAAAATGCCCGAAATTTTAACTGCTCTATTGCTTTTAGTATTCAAGCACAAAATTTCTGAAGCGATGGGCTCTATGCACTGATAGTACCCATCCGCTGCCGGCACTATCGCGTCTTKTGAACAACTTTTGGCCAATGAGACCAGAGGAAAAATGTTGTTGATTTGTAAACTGTGATAGTTACCTTTGGAAACTGGATTTCCCTCAAAACTTTATAGTCGCCCGAGARCATAGTTCGCCTCGTGCAGCTATCACAGCGTAATGGCCTCGATTGCACACTTTAGCAATGTTTAGATGATAGATCGTTAAACCCAGTGAAATGTTAATGTTATTTTCTTTTTGTTAATTGGACTATTATTATACCGGACTGTGACATTTTGTTTGGAAGTCAATACAATGAATTTCTTACACTCAGAAAAATMAGAGTTTTAGCAAAATTGAACTTTACTGCCTTTACTGTACTGGATAATAAAACCGAGGCCATTTTGATTTATCTGTATCCTTGACCAATCACATTGCAGTCTTTAGGTCAAGTTTCTTGGAGTCATACAGTGATATTACAAATGGTAACGTAAACATTGGATTCGATAACGGTTTTAACTGTTTTAGTTCTGTTTGGATTCACCGTGATCTGATTGGTCAGGTTTACTTAAGTGGCCCCGGTCTCATTAGTTTCCGACGTTGACAAGTGTCGGTCAAATTTTATTTGTAATTAACTCTTCTCCAGTTATGTCAACCGTAAAGAAGTTGAWGAAGTGCTGTAAATTTTCCACATTGATTTACCAGTATATCCTACCTGTTCGTATTATTCTGCGAGTGTCCGTTGTTCCATTATTTCCCAGTCATCTTTTCATACAAAAACTACTGATTGACGTCAATATTGATAACCACAACTATATGATTATTTGTGGGATATTTTAGCAGGACGTGATRTAACGTTCCTTGAAAACGCAACGTGCTAGGGCTTCTTAGTCCAATGTAAACTACCCCTAAACTTCTATATTAGCTACATTACTTGTAAATAGTAGATACATTAAGTTAGGTCGTGAGCATGCATGTCTTTCTGAATTTACAATTCATTTATACAGCAATAAAAAAATGTTATTTTTACTTTACGATGAACTCTTTTATCAATCCGACATCCCTACAATCACCACCATGAACCGTTTCTTTTTCAGTGGAATACTCGGCGAAACACGATTTTTCTGCTCTTTCCGATGCTGAATGTTCAATAAATCGTGCTATTTTTTTTCGTTCCGGTATCATTCGCGTGCTGTGATTGGCTAGCGTGCGGTCCGGTTTTTCACGATCTGCCCGGTCCGCGGTATCCTGCAGCTAGGTTGCGAGCCAAGCTGCAGAAAATGCAATAAAAAAAATGTTTTTTACCGGCTATAGGTCGGTCCGTATAGGAAAACACTGTCCTCGG